GCATGGGGTGGGAAAGATTGTGGATTGAGATGGACATCATTACCCTAACTACATGTATGAAGACATGAATGATATGACTCTACTTTGTGTACAACCAGAGACATGAAAAATTGTGCTCTGTGTACTAAGAATTTAAATGCATTCTGCTGTCATGTATAACAAATTAAACAAATAAATTTTTWAAAAAGTATCCCTATCATGTATATATCCAAATTCCAACATTATAATAAGTTCTATATCTTCAAAGGCATTAAGGAACTACTTCTAAATATCAAAACACATTAAGTGACATGCTTAGAAAAAACTTATGGAGCAGAACTGGAAGCTTCACAAGTATCTTTGGGATGCAAATATCCTGCCTCACCTATTTGTGGATAAAGCATTGATAAATGAGTACATAGCAGCTCCATCTTTTGCACGAATAATGGCTTCTAGGTTTTCTTCAAGTACTTTTTTATTGTTTTGTACTCCTCTCAAAATCTTCGCAGCATCTTTCAATACAGATCTTGTGGTATTGGCTGTTTGAAGCTTAACAGAATTCTGTGGAAGATCAGCAAGCCTCATCATAATTGGCAAGTCTTTCTGCTTAAAAGAAAAAAGGGAAAAAAATTACCATGTTAAACTTACATTGATTACTTTAATCCAAATAAGATCTATTACTACTGTTGAGCCCATAAACCATGCCAACATGTTCTTCAGACTCAATCTGTCAAACTGAAGAGGTACAAGAGAACATACGGCACCAATTTTTTTCCCATTTAGGAATACAAATATCAGTGTCAAACAGAGATGGGATATCCATAGCAATGCTAGGCAGTCCAGTGGCCAATGACAGTTCTATTGCTGAAGACAGCTAAACAAAATAAGAGCAAGTTGGCTGTAGGGTGATATAGAAGACACTGTGGACTAGAAAAACAAGAGCCATTCACAGCTCTCTTTCTCCTTTTCTCCCTCTCCAACAGAAGTTGGAAAGCCACAGATAACCATGTGGCTCTGTCTGGACAAAGAATAGTAAGTAAAAATCATTGGTGAAGGCCTCTGAAAACATGTTTAAAGGGAATAGACTTGGCTGCATGTTTTTGTTTTTTTCAGACCTTTATCTTCATCCTTCCTCCTGATTTGTCTTTAGAACTTTTTTATTCCTTCACAATTTTTACCTTGCTAATCATCAATTTTAACACTATTCCCACTTTACCTGGAGCATGTCATTTGTTTCTTTCTTCTTTTGGCCACGATCATGAAGAACATCATTAGACTTCTGCATAGTCATTTTAGATGTGCCTAGATCTTCATAGGATGGAAATCTTTGAGAAGGAAGAGTTCCAATGCTARAAGAAAAGTTTCCCAAGTTCTCATCAATTCAGTAAACAACTGATTACATGAACTTTTGGTACATTCTTAGGCATACTTTAATAAATGGTAGTCTACCAAACTGTATCATGTAATTAAYCAGTTATATGATAAATATATGAAACACAAGAAATCATAAGAGACAAAATTAATCTTACCAGAAATGTTTAGGTATCATAGGAAAAGAGCAGAAAGGGTTTTACTCTCAAGAAACTAATATTCAGAAGTATTTCCAGACAGGTGGAGAAAGAAATCTGAAAAGTCACTCTTCCATAAAAGCAACGAGAACACTAACATCAAAATCAATTTTAGGGGCTGGGGTTGTAGCTCAGTGGTAGAGCACTTGCCTCACATGTGTGAAGCACTGGGTTCAATTCTCAGTACCACATATAAATAAAAATAAAGGTCATCAACAACAGAAAAATATTTTTTTAAAAAGTCAATTTTATTTCAGAACTTTGAAAATTAAAGAAAGGCTTACAACAACCCGAGGATCATTTATTGCAAGAAATAAATGGCTGATTCTTAGTAAAGATCAGTAAACTTCATGGTATAACTTTAACTTATTTCATTATCAGGACCTTTTCCTCAACTCTGTGGTAGACTTGAAAACTATGGCCTTACAACAACTTAAAAGGGTATAACAGGTTTGGAGGTCCTCTAAAAATCTCCTTCATTGAGTTTGGCTTTATTTGACCTAACTCAGGAGCTCAGTAAGAAACTCTATCCTTAYAGCATTTTTTAAAAGTAGAAATTGTTAAAATCTCAGCTGCCTGAGATACGGATATAAGTTGAGGCAAACAAGACTGTGGACAATGAACTTCAAAAAACTGAGGAATGAGACATCCATAGTGGAGTTTGAGTAAGCTCTACCATATTCCTGGGGATATTGAAGATAGTACACATATATGGGGCTATATACACACCCCAAAAGACCAAAGAAGGTCCAACTCTCTCAATCTGACTGCTTTTGAGGCTGTCTGCGAGTAGGAAGTAAAGGCTAAGACAGATTTATAAAAAATAAATGCACGTGTACATTCATGAAAATAAAGAGACGTATTTACTTATTTACAAATTTACTTATCTTGAACTATCAAGATAAGTAAATTTGTTTCCAATCAGTGGCAGACTAAGTTCACAAAACAGAGACTTCAGTGGGTACATATGACAAAGAATACAGACTTTACAGAATTARTCCAGGAAAGTAACTAAATAACCAGCTGTATGAACAACAATTCCCAGTACAGCAAAACACTGACTTCTAGTGTTGCCTTACTGTATTATTTAAAATGTCCAGTTTTCAACAAAAGTTTAGATACACACAAAGAAATTTTTTAAAAAAAAAAAAAAGCACAAACACAGGAAAAAGGACAGTCAGTAGAACTGTCCTTATGAAATCCCAGATATTATACTAACTAGGTAAAGATTACAAATCAGCTATTACTAAAGAAACCTACTCAAAAAATTAAAGTTAAATTTAAGAATGAAGTCTTGCCAAAAAGAAAAAAAAACACAAATATAAATTCTGTAATTGAAAATTTCAATTTACAGAGCCTCAGAGACCTATGGAATACCATCAAGCATATCATCACATATATCATTGATACTATTTAATATACAATGAAATGATGGTCCAAAAATCACCAACTCTGGGACAGGAGTCCCTGTGTTTCTCCTTGGCTAGCAAAACAATAATAGAATAAGAAAAYAGTATCTAAATTATTATCATCAAAACAGAAAGAAAAAAGGAAAAAAAGAAAAGAAACAAATGATGGCCAAAATGTTCCAAGTATAATGAAAATTAATCTACTCATCTAAAAAGCTCAACAAACTTCAAATAGGATAAACTAAAAAATATCCATACTTGAATACATCATTGGGAAACTGTCCAAAATCCCAAGCAAAGAGAAAATCTGAACAGCATCAAAAGAAAAGTGACTCATCATATTACAAAATCCTCAAAAAGATTAACACCTGGCTTTTAATCAGTCTTTATGTAAGAGTCCAGAGGAAGTAAGATGATACTTTAAAGTATTGAAAGGGAAAAAAAATGCCAACCAAAAATTCTRTATCTAGCAAAACTATCCTTCAAAAGTGAAAGAGAAGATAATAGAGGCATGCATGTGTACACAGAGGGTTGATCACGAGAAGAAACAAAAGAGGGAGTCCATCTACAAACTGAGAAGAGAAGTCTCAGAAGAAATCAGCCCTGTTGGCAATTTGATTTTAGATTTTAGCCTCCACAAATGTGAGAAAATAAATTTATGTTCAAACAAACAAACAAACAAGAATAATTGAAGGAGAAACTAAAAACCATCCCATATAAACAAAAACAGAGAATTCAATGCTAGAAGACCCAACCTACGGGGCTGGGATTTTGGCTCAGTGGTAGAGTGCTCATCTCGCATGTGGAAGGCACACATGCGARATGAGTACCACATAAAAATAAAGGTGTTGTGTCCATCTACAACTAAAAATATATWTTTTTTTAAAAAGACCCAACCTAYAAGAAATACTGAAGAAAGTCCTTTAGAATGAAAAGACATTRGATTCTAGCATGAATCAATAAGAAGAAACAAAGGGTACAATTATATAAGCACATAAAAAATAACATCTATTTTTGTAATGCTCTTCTGATTCAAAAAACAGCTGTATAAATTTTAAGTTATCAAGCTGTATAGAAGGGCTTATAATTGATCAAAATATAATTTGAAAATACTGGAAAAAAGGGGGAGGGAAGAGAGACATTGGAGAAAAATTTTAATACTACTGAAATTAAATTGATATTAATCTGAACTAGTTTGTTTTAAACTAATATGTCAATTTTAATTCCTATATAACCAATAAATAACTACATTACTATAAAAAATGTAGTAAAGGAAACAAAGGAATKAAAATAGTACACTAGAAAATATCTATTTAATTAAAAGAAAGCACTAATGGAAGAGTAGTGGAATAAAAGATCTGACACATGTTGAAAATACATAGCAATATGGCAGGCATAAATATCTTAGCAATAAGTGCATTAAATGTAAATAAATTAAAATTGTACAATATATTTACATAAAAATACTCCAGTTGTGGCTCTTTTAAATTTTTATTACTGTAGTTTTCATGATATAGAAGGGAAATATAATTATGGCCAAGATTTACTTGATTTTTWAAAAAAATCTTTCTTACATAAAATTTCAAACATATACAAAAGTAAAAATAGTACAATGACACTTTATTTGTCCCTTCTCTAACAACATCAAACACATCATTCTCATAGCTGTCCTCATTTCTTCTATACTCACAACCCATTCCCTGTCCTACTATGTTATAGAAAAAGAGAAAGATACATTAGAATCAGAAAATAGTATATAAATTGAAGATAATTTTTAAAAACAATAATTTATTAATATTCTTAAAGAAACTTTAGAAATATGAACAAAACTCTTTCTAGTTTAGTTTGCATTCCAATTTCTTATTTTTACCTGTTTTTTTTCTCAAGTTTCCATTCCATTGTCGGCCTAGTTAGTGAGGTTATGTCTAACAATTCATTTTTCTTTATCAAAGAATCATTATTATTCAAAATCTGTTCYAACAGTCTTACATTTCCTGTAATAGAAAAAATACAGTATCATTTTCCAAATATTAMTTAATTTCTCCTTTACATAACATCTCACTATGTCTGTACTCTGGCCTAAATCAGCTTCTATGACTATCTACTTAATTCACTCCACAATTGCTATGGTTTTAATGTGTCCTCTGAATTTCAGGCATTACAAACTTAATCCTTAAAGTTATATGTTATTGGTATTTGAGAGCCAGGAACTTTGGGAGGTAATTGGGTCAGGAGGGTTCTGTCCTCATGAATGAGTTAATCCATTCATGTATTAATGGGTTACCAGGTTTTTCAAGGGAGTGGGTTCATTATAAAACCAAGCTCTCTCTGACTAGTTTCCTTTTGTGCCATGCGATGCCCTCCACCATGTCAAGAACCAGCAGGCTCTCACCAGAGGCCAATCCCATATAAGTCACCATGCTCTTGGACTTTCAGAATCATGAGCTAAATAAACCTCTTTTCTTTACAAATTACTCAACCTATAGGAATTCATTATAGCAACATAAAACAGATTAAGACAAAAGAGTAGACTATAAATACACTCACCAAGTAACACTAAATATTTATACCTCATATAAACCACTCTGGTAAAAACATGAATTATATTAGGCAAAAAGACTAAATTTGTCTCTGTCACAGAGGGAACTATCATTATCACAAAACTCCAGAAATTGAACTATTTTGTAAATCAGTAAAAAGGAGGTTTGTTTCCTCACAATTACTTGGATCTTCCTGGAATTGTTTTTAGTGAGACTATATAAGAAATTACTTTTCGTAAAATTGGTTTCTTTAATAAATATTATCTTCTAAATTCTTGAAATTTGCCTAAGGTAAGACTTGAATGCATTTAAAGGAATCTAAGAATAAAAACCTACAGCTTAATATTTTCACTTACTTTTACTAGAAGGGCTACATTTTAAGGCTTTGTAGCACACTATTATCTCAGGTCACTTATAAAAGTTCTTGTTTTCTAGTAAAATAGTTCATATATTAGCACTTTTTCCAGCGAAACATGGTGATAAATGTTAACTTCCCTGAGTTTTATTATTGAAATTCACACCTAAAAACAATATAAGGAAACACATTCTAAAAATGATCAGTCTTACCTTCAACAAGGCATTATTTTTTATAGTAATAAAAGCTTAAGTAATAACCTGTAGGAGATAGTAAAAATAACTATAAATGTATACCWTCAACTCCTACAGATAATCTAAAGAAGACTGATTTGTCCCATAAATATCATTTACAGAAAAGTAGTGAAAATAGAGATATCAGTCTAGTTACAGGGCACACAGAGAATTCCAAATCATGAGTGACAAAATTTCAGGACAATTTCCTAATCTGAAATAGGTCTAGTCAAGGCAGGTATGTCTATAATTGTTTCTTACCTCTCTGACCTAACATTTCCATGTTTTCTTTTTCTTCTATGGGATTTTCCTTCTTTGACATTTCATCATCTCTTGAAACAGGTACAGGAGCAAACCTGCGAGGTGCTGGTGTCTCCAAAGGAGATTTTTGTTCATTAAAATCCATATCTTCAAACTCTATTAAAGGTGTTTTAATAGAAAATAAATAAGAAATTTAACTTGCTTGTTAAAATTTAAAAATTAGAGAGTATTATTCTTTCCTGTACATTAAAAATAAAACCAAAAGTACACAGGATTGATAAATACATAAATTATTAACAAATAAGTAGAAAAATAACTTCATTCTTAACTAGAAGTCAAAAGAAATAGACTAAATATTTTTCACTAAAGCAATAAACACAARTCAATATAATAACATTTTTTTGTGTGTGGTACTGGGGATTGAAYTCAGGGGCACTCAACCACTGAACCACATCCCTAGCCCTATTTTGTATTTTATTTAGAGACAGGGGCTCACTGAGTTGCTAATAAGTGCCTCRCCATTGCTGAGGCTGGCAGGCCTGGCAACATTCAGTACTATTAAAGTTGTGGTGAAAATGGTATATCTAGACATTTTTCATGGTAATGAAAATTGATAAACCATGTAGCAATATACCACCTAAATAACATTACCCTTGGGAATTTATCATAAGGAAAAAAACTTTAAAAAGTGTTAAATATGTGATGATATTCATTACTGTATTATTTATCAAGAAAAAAAAACACCCTAAAACCTACCTAACTGTCCAACCCCAAGGTAACAGTCAGGTCAACAGACTTTTAGTTATTAAATTTTAAAATTATAGGGTGTGGGTGTGGCTCAATGGTAGAATGCTTGACTGTGTGCATGAAGTACTGGGTTCAATCCCCAACACTGAAAAAAGAAAAAAATTAAACTGGTGAAAATAATATGTAAAACACAGGAAATGCTTTCAATATGTTAATAAAAAAGAAACACAGATCCTTTTCAGGTCATAGGTGTGATGACTGTGTATTCACACTGTTGTATCAGATGTGCCTCTCTACAAACTTGTTATAATGTCAGCACATTACCCATCCTATTTTGGAAAAAATACAAAACTGTATTTGTGCTGCAATTAAAACTATCTAAAAGTAGGTCTAGGGATGTGGCTCAAGCGGTAGCGTGCTTGCCTGGCATGCATGTGGCCCAGGTTCGATCCTCAGCACTACATACAAACAAAGATGTGTGTCTGCCGAAAACTAAAAAATAAATATACTCTCTCTCTCTCTCCAAAAAAAAAAAAAATCTAAAAGTGACACATACTCATTAAAAAACACAGAAAAATTAAAAGTTTAATTTGTTGAATTTGGGGGGAGAGGGATACAAGGGGTTGAACTCAGGGGCACTCAACCACTAAGCCACATCCCCAGCCCTGTTCTGTATTTTATTTAGAGACAGGGTCTCACTGAGTTGCCTAGCACCTCACTCTTGCTGAGGCTGACTTTGAACTTTCAACCTCCTGCCTCAGCCTCCCTAGGCACTGGATTATAGGTGTGTGTCACCTCGCAGGGCTAATTGTTGAATTTGTTGAATTAAACTAAGTTTTTCWTTTATTTCTGTTATCATAACTAATATAAACACTGAAATTAAGTATGCAATCGATAAAACAGTCATATTTTTTTCTTTACAGCTTAAGTCTACAAAAACAAAATTATTCTGTGGAATTGAGTAAATATACTAGGGGGAAAAGTGTTCACTTATGTAGAAGGATCAAGGCTCGGTCACACTGAAATCAGAGCTCTTGACCTTGCTCTCATGCCCTAACTCTCAATGTAGTAACCTTAAACAGTCCAATCATAACCTTTCTGTATTTCATATTCCTTTTTACAACTTAAAAACTGACTCAGACTACTTCACAACAGTGTTGTAAGGACTGCTCATTTGCAAAATAAACGTACCTTATAARTAAAAGAAGTGTTTAATGACTGTGATACAACAATGTTGTAACAAATAAAATATTAGAAATACATAGACCTGTACATCATTAAATGAAGAGTCCTTTGGTTTTCATTAATGTTATTAAAACATCAATAATTTGGAAAAATATCTGTTCATTTATTTTAAATTCCAAAAGTTTAAGAAATTAGCTGTGTATTTCTTTGTTATTATAATTTTTTTAATTCTATAAACAGATTTTTATTAGTCAAACTGAAAATATTTASAAATATAGTAGTCTCCCCTACTCTTGGGGAGATATGTTCCAAGACCCTAATGAATGCCTGAAACTAAAGATAATGCCAAACCTTATATGTATTATCTTTTACCTGTACACACAAACAGTACAGTGTGGATACACTGGACAAAGGGATCATTCACATGTGCTGGCAAAACTAATAAGCCAGACAGTATGAGATTTCATCATGCTACTCAAAACAGCATGCAATTTAAAATTTGTAATTGGTTTATTTCTAGAATTTTCCATTTAATATTTTTAGGCCACAGGTGACCATGGACAATTTTAAACCTCAACAAGCAAAACTACAAATAAGAGGGGATTACAATAGCTTATAATTTTAACTCAGTTGTTTTTTTCCTGACACAATCAAGAAAAACAGTAAATATGCAGTTTGTCAGGGAAATTGGAGAATTTTATTAGTAAATAAATTTTTCTAAATTTCTAAGGGTTTCTGATAAATTATAAAGGCTATTACTTAAAACCATAAATTAGGACATGATTCATAATTTGAACAAGTTGAAAAATAATTTAAAATTTACTTAATCTATAAAAAGAATTTTATAAAACAAAGACTCAGAAATGTTGTAAGACTCTCACCACTTAGTAAATAAGTTTTCAGTTCATATAGCACAAAGAAAATCCTTACATTTTTAGTCCATAAAAAATTAAATATTTTTACCTTGTTTGGAAGTACATGTGTGATGTGAAGACATATTGCTGCTACCAAGATGAGGATGTTCTGGTTTTACAGAATACTTTTCCACTGCTCTGGAAGGAAGCATGCTACCAGGCTGAAAACTATTAGTCTTTAATGCAGCACTAATAAAATGAGTCTAGAAAAAATAAAATTATTAATTTCAAATATCATTTAGTATGATGATAAAGTATATTGAGATTTCTTACTGGACTTGTAAACAATTTTATTACATTTATGAAACAATGAGAATATATATATAT